GCTTCACAGATAAGGAAAAGCTAAAGGAGTTCATCACCACCAAACCAGTATTATATGAAATGCTGAAAGGTATCCTTTAAGAAGATGAAGAAGAAGAAAAAGGTAAAGATACAAATTATGAACAACAAATACACATCTATCAACAAGTGAATCTAAAAATCAAGTGAATAAATAATCTGATGAACAGTATGAACTGGTGATTATAATAGAATCAAAAATATAGACAGGGAATGGACTGACTATTCTTGGGGGTGTGGGGAAAGAGGTGTGGGGGTGAGGGAAGAGATTGGACAATAATTGTGCACCTATGGATGAGGACAGTGGGTGGGGAGTGAGGGCGGAGGGTGGGTTGGGAACTGGGTGGAGGGGAGTTATGGTGGGAAAAAAGAGTAACTAATGTAATAATCTGAACAATAAAGATAGACAGGGAATGGACTGACTATTCTTGGGGGTGTGGGGAAAGAGGTGTGGGGGTGAGGGAAGAGATTGGACAATAATTGTGCACCTATGGATGAGGACAGTGGGTGGGGAGTGAGGGCGGAGGGTGGGTTGGGAACTGGGTGGAGGGGAGTTATGGTGGGAAAAAAGAGTAACTAATGTAATAATCTGAACAATAAAGATTTAATTGAAAAAAATAAAAATAAAATATTTGAGTTCACAACAGAGGGTATATGAGTTGAATGTTAAAATGTTGAAACAATATGTCAATCAAACCAGTCTACTCATGGTAAATTACTGCACACCATTTGTCCATAAACTAGTTATAAGTTAAAAAGTAGTAGTTCCATGGAAGAAGACTTGACTTTGGGTAGTAAACACACAATACAATATGTAGATGATGTATTATAAAATTGTACACTTGAAACATATCACCCCAATAAATTCAATAAAAAAATTTTAAAGTAGCAGTTCCATATGGACTACCTTATTATTTGATAACCACATCCCTTTTATAAAAGAAAAATATTCTGTTTGATACCAAGGACAAAATGTTACATGAGTAAGCCTCACTTTGGGGTACACTATTTTGTGCCTACTTATATATCCACTGGCAGCATCCATGTGGCTGCAGACCTCAGTTTACCTCTGTGTGGATAGCAATGGGAAGAGGGGCTCAAGGCTTAGTGCATGG